CGTCCAGGCATATGCCTGGACTCAAGGAGCTGACAAACAGGACCCAAGAGGCAAAGTGTAAGAAGCATTAAGATAAAGGGAAGTCAAAAGATCCAATGTTCTTTTTTGAATTGAAGTAAAAATACAAAGTAAGGCGTTAGATATTCTAATAGATATCTGTTTTATCTATTGTCTAAAAGATAAAATATCTTTTCAAGGGGAAAAGAAAGACTGTAACCAAGGAGTTTAAAACTAGTTAAATAAATGAATAATAGTAGACATTCATAGACCAATAATGAAAGTATTAATATATCATAAATTAAGGATTATGATTATTCTACTGTATGAGAAAGAGACAGAGAATCACCAAGTGTTCATTTGAAACACAACTTGTTAAAAGCATGTGTCATTCATGTGAAAAGCAGCACAGCAGAGTGGTTAAGAGCCTCAATTTTCGGAGCTTAACTGCCTGGGGTTTGAATCTCAGCTCTAATACTGAATAGCGCCGTGAACTTGGACAAGTGACTTTACCTCATTATGTCTCAGTGTCTCACCTGCAAGGTGAGATTAGTAACAGCACTCACCTCATAGGTTGCTATGTGTCAGAACTCAGAGTCTAGCACATAGGAAGTATTACATAAGTTTCATATTATTTTTATATGCTTTTAGAAGAAATATAAGGGAAGATAGAATGCACAATGACCAGAATATGAGACATGGAACCAAAAAGTTTGAAATTTTTCCAGTTTTACTGCTTTTTTTTGTGATTCTGAGCAAGTCATTAATTCCTTTCAACTACTTTCATCCCTGGTAAAAAGGGAAGAACTGTTATTAATTCCATTTCTAAAAATTCTGAACTTCTGTGATTGAGTTGAGAAATTGATCATGCATCTGTGTCACTAGTATAAATCCAAGCAGAATTATTCTCCATGCAACTTGAAACATGTAATTGTTTTTGTGTCCCTTAGTATTTCCATATCGAAATTTTAGGAAATAGAAGCCAATAGAAAAAAGTGACTCCTTTATTTATGAAATATAAATTAAAATTATGAATTAATTTTTCATTTTTGGCACCCGCTAATATTTGAGAACAGAGCTGAGTTCATACTAAATGCTCAGTAGATTTATTTATTTATTTTTTTTGGTTATCTTTTTAGCTTTCCAAATAGCTAAGATTCTGAGATCGACACTGAAGTTAATTTTATTAATAGCACAAGGAAATCAATCTGAAAAATTCAGTTTTCTTCTACTCTTAAATGTCATTAATGAAACAACATTTGACTACCTTTTCTTAACTAAAAACACTATTATAAGACAAGGACCACGTAAAACATTTGATGAGCAAGTAGCGTTAGGCAGAGAGTTCATTGCAAACCATCACCTACCACACTAATACACGCACATCTGATGAGAAAAATAAATACTTTAACTTCTGCTGCCAAACTACCTAGTTCTTGTGCAGACCAAGGATACAAAACTCTTCTAGCCAGTTCTATGGTCATATATATTGAAGCACTTTGGTTCTTCAAAGTCATTCCTGTGTGTCCACTCACATGCAATTGTACAAACAAATATATCACTACATCTCCTAAGCTGAACAGGATGCTTGCCAAAGTACAGGCCCATCCACTCCATGTATTCACTGGTAGCACAATAGTGATGCACTAATATGCAAAACTGTAATAAACAAATATGCAACATCTCACATGATCGGTCTGAAGCGTCAATGGAATATATTAGCATATAAGATACCTAGCATTTGGCAGATAATAAATGTTGTTACTGTATCACTATATATTGTTTACTTTAAATATCAGTACTCATTACATATTAAAGTACTTTGATGTAAGGTACTTTGTGTTATAGGCATATAGTCACCTGAAAGATAATTAATATTGAATTATTACTCACCCAGAATACTGTCATTTTCATTGAAAATAATCACAATAGCAATCAGTGATTTAGTTTCATCAATGGCCCTGGACGTTGATGTATTTTATAATCCCCAAAGGGTACTACAATGGTTAAATTTGATGATCTTTATAATTTTTAAAATCAGTTAACAAGAAAAGAGAAGATCTCGTTTTCCAAATGGCTATAACAAAAAGGAACCAGCACAAATATTTTCTGAATTTAAGGAGAGATTTTGGGTAATAAATCAACGTGGCATATGTGCATAAAGAGATGAGTTGGCACCTTGCCGACTGCCAGATCATGCTTCTTTCCTGGCTCTCCCTTCCTCCAGATGTCCAGGGAACCAGGATGCAGGGTGTCATTATTAAGGAACTCCACAGAAAGGGACAATTTACATTGTCAACATCTATAATGTACATCATACAAATGAAAAATAATGCTCACTGCTTAATATTACTTTTCGGTAGTTCACTAGAGTGCATTTTCTCAGAATTAAAATCTCTAATAGGTAAAGCACCACAGGGATAATAAGAAATGGCACACTTGGTGTGATTTAGTAAACATTTCTTTAATCACTATTATGTTCATGCATTTTTTGTGTAAAAGATTCAGAAATCAGGTCTGGAAACAAAGACCATCGTTAGTAATGAAAAAGTCAATTAACCATAACTAAGAAATAATCAATAATTCTTTTCTCAACTACCTGGGTAATGTTAAGCATTCATTAAATGTTTCTGCTGGTCTTTCACCATGAAACCCCGTATCCCCTTACATCCTATCATGCTTTTGCATCCTGACATGGAAATTAAAAGCAATGGTGTGCGTCTGCCCTTGGAAGCTTCTCTTCTCCTTGTTCCTTCCTCCTCATTGCCTCTCCCCCAATTCTAGACCAGGCCATCATTATCTCATGCCTCCAGGTTTGCTCTAGTCTTTGCCAATTCTATTTCATCCTTTATATCAAAACTAGATTAACCTTGCCTTAAATGCTATTTTTGTCATTTTACTCCTGGGCTCCCAGATAGATATTGGGCTTTTGTAAGATGTTTGTGGCCTACAATATGAATTCTAAACTTTAAATTTCCTTTCAAATTAGCTAAGGTCCTTATTGTTTCTCAACACATTCTGCTCTCTTTTACTTAAATTCTGTGGTCTTTATTATTTCTCCAAGAATTATCTATTTTTCTTTTCAGCCTTCCTAGTTTCTACTAATCTTTCAAGGTCAAATTAAAGGCTAACTTTCTCTTGGAGAGCTTTCACTCATGTTTCCTTTCCTTAGCTCTTTATTCTGTATGCTGTTCAATTTTTTTTCAATACCTTAACTATACAATTTCATGCAATATAAATAAGCAATACTGATATTATATATATACATATATATCAGCATACATCTATGGAAATGTCTGCATGGTTTATTGTTTCATGTGCATGGATTCTGTATCTCCAACTAGACAGCAAGTGCTTTGCAGATAGATTCTTTATGGTATAATTGATTTTTGAAGTTTATTCCCCTTAAAATCTGCTCATCAATAAATGTGTTTTGATTGATTCATCATTATTTATACCTTAATATTTTGCTTCCCAGCATATGCATGTGTGTTTTGCTTTTGTTTTATACTTAGAATGTGTATGGAGCCAGA